CACGCGAATACATCGTGGAACTTAACCAAGAGCAAATTGAAGTCTTATTTTTGAGTAACGGCAACAGTTTCTTCAGTGGGTAAAACCGAATCTATACTCGTAGGTGGTAAGACTATCGACGCTGCAATGGCTGCGCAAATGGCCTCTCCGTCAAACTCGGCAGGTGTGGGAGAAGTCGGCGATAGCTTACGTCCGAACGATAATGTACGGTCCTTCACCATAATTAAAACGAGACCGAGTATGGAGTCCCACGTCATCCAGAGCATGACTACGAAAATTTGTTCCTTAACACTGCTTGTCAAGAAGATGAAAAGTCGAACCGTCCCTATTGTGGCCATGTTCTGAGGTTTGGTTCGTAACTGCTTTTTCTGGCGAGGTTTAACTGCTTAGTGTCTAAAATATGCTCTTGAACTAAAGACGTGGTGGCGTTTATGTCGACTAGTGCCACAGTGGGCTTGTTCTCTAGGCGTATCGTCGTATAAAATGGCAAACTATTTGGCGAATTAGCAAAGCAAACGGCGCCACGTTTGAAGTGATAAGACCACGTGGTCCCTATTGGCCGCTGACAACGACGTGTATGCCTATCGTGCGAGGCAAGGCAAGGCGTCGGCGAATTTCCGCAGCGTTTCGTCGTTTATTATGGAACGCTTAAGCAGTTAGCCCATCGCCTTTTCTATGGGGAATGCAGGCTGGAAGAGTCTCCGCAACTGGTCGCAAAGCGCCTGGAAGGGTATGTGGCGTGTAAGGCCGGCATTTGGGACTTTGTCAATTTGATCGTCTACCAACTGTTCCAGAACCGTACGGCTGCTTATGTTCTGCGGTTCGTCGTTCAAGTGGAATCTTAGGCGTCTGAACCAACAAGAAAAGTTATTGCTCCCGTCAAACGGTTTGAAGGACGGCGGAATGGGGTTCGTGGACGTGTTCGTTGGATGTGGGTTCGGCTCGTGGGATGTCACCATTATAACAACCGACTTCGTAGCGGTTTCAGCGGTTATTGCCTCATCCGTATTTCCGTAGGGTGCCTGAGGTTCCGATGTCCTGGTCCGGTGCACCCTGCCCTTTTTGGAAATCATTGATCTCAGTCTTCGAGACATCCGTAATCAAATAACGCACTTCAATCTCACGACAAGGCAAGCGACAAAGCAAATGTTTTTTTTTAAGTACTGGGTGAAACGTAAACGTGTCAGAGAAAAGAGGGCCAGTCCGTTCAAAGAAACGTTATCTTCACAATTGTCCAGAGAGGGTCGAGATGGGAGTTGTCACTGGGGAAGAGGGATCTGTTTCTTCAAGCATCCCGACTGGGAAAATGCAAAACGAGAAACAGTCGCACGTCAGGCACCGCGGGAGTTAATCTTGGTGCCACAAACCATCTTAACAAAACTGGGCCATACTCCTTCACGTCTGTCCGCTACAGTTTCAGCCAAATATAATTTCGCTAAACTCAAATTCAAGGAGAGTCATTGAAGCCATTGCAGTTCGCGTGAATATGTTCGACCAATCCCCTGATAGCTGGCGGAAACACTCCGCAGATTGCTGCCTCCAGTCACTCGCCTCCAATGGCAACCATGCAAAAAGATGAGAACACCGGCGATGCGGAGCCTGAGGACGTCCAAGAACTGACGAAAACTGTATGGACGCTAATTTTTTCTAATGTACTAAACAGATTCAAAATATGATACGTCAAATGCAAGACAAATTCCAACTCATGAGCGATCAACTCGTGAAGAAAAATATCCTTTTCTGTCGCGCTACATATGTAGGCAATTAATATACGCTTTTTAGTGAGTCCTTGTTGGGTCACTATCTTCCTAGTTCTTCCAAAAATTGCAATTTTTTCATGCGCTCTGTGGAGAGATGCTTCGTGGCCTCGCTTAGAGTGTCATGTCAACAGGGGTCTCACATATTTCGAAATGCGTTTTCTTAGCCAACACTTTGTCGGAATCTTCTCAGCTGTTCACTGATCTCTTGTAGCCTCTGACTCTCGGCAACATCGGACAGGCTGCGGGAAGCAGCAGGCAGGCAGTTGATAAGCCCAAGTTATGTAGCTACTGTTGAACGTGAGGCTTTTTGACACAAGATAGTCAGGACAGTCCTTTTTATTGAACTACTTGTGTCTACTTTGTTTGGTGAAAATTAGTAAAATCCGAACGCTGAGTCGTTTTCCCCACAAAAATCGTTGATATATTTGTCATTTCCCGCTACGTGCACATGTTCTTCGGTGTAACTGCGAATTTAACAGCTGTTCCAGAAACCCTCTAAATACGGACATTTCGGTTGTTTGTCGAGTGTTCGGTTTTTCACTCCGACGTCAAACAAAGAGTTCGTCTTAAATCTCTTGAGCACTTTCGATAACTGGGGTAGCTGCCTAATTTGGACTTTATACTGCGCCTCGGGGAACCGGAATCAGCTGTATGTGCACGTTGAGAATAGGTGCCGTCACAGCAGGAGACCGAGACTACCACTTTCGACCTGTTTTGCGTTATCAGCTTGTTTGTTTCCCCTGCTATCCGTAAAATGTCGGTTACTAACCGTTGTTTCTGTGTAGCCATCTACGACGGCCGTAGACTGTGGCCACTGAAGCAGCCTTTAAAATAAAAAACCTCGCAACCGAAATTCCCATATTTTTAATTTACTTAGTTTGTGGGCTGATTTTTCACTCCAGTTATCTCACATGCTATAGAAACCATATTTTTGTGTGTTGCGTTTGTGCTTGTTTATGTTTGCCATCCGAACTGGATTCCTTGTATATGCCCTGCTTCTTTCGTTGCGATTGGATGACAGTATAACGTCAGACAATCCGCGTACCGTACTTTCCAAACATGCGCGCAGGTTATATGATGTTTATTTTCCACTGTTTTTCCCTGACGCTGGCAATTTCACTCGATGACATGTCCTCTCGGATTGATGAGCTTGAAAAAAGTATCGGCGACATCCTCAATTCCCAAGATGGAGAGTAGCTTTCGTCGCTTCTTTTGTTTACTAACGCCGAATAAAAAATTTTCAAATGCCTCTTCCAGTGCCTCTGCTTATGAAACGCGTCAGACACCTTTTCCTTTCCACTCACAACAGCTTGACGGATACGATAGCCCCCTCAAGCGTCCAATTCCTACACTTACCGACGTCTAAAGCGTCTTGTTTCACGAAAATCCGCAGGTAGGAGTGGTAGACGTCCTGCAACTAAGATTTGGCGTATAAATACAAGTCTTCGATGACAAACGTATTTGATATTTGCAACGGAATTTTTTCGCGCTTGATAATTGTGACTCATGTAAATGATGGGGAGGGGGGGGGGAATTGGAGCCGCAGCTTTAGTGAACTGTCCATTATGATTTCGATCTCGATCCCCCACCAGATACTGCGCTGTGACTGGAAAAGCGTCATGTTATTTGTAACTCCGTATGACTGGAGTCCGTCCATATCTGTCTATCGGCGCGCCCATCCAGAATGTCCAAAGGGGTCTCGAGCGCCCTCGTTTCTGTAGACAGTTAAGAGCGCGGGGAAATCAACTCGCTCCCTTCTCACGATAGAGGACTTTGATCTAAGGGACGTCCGCCCAGTTTCGTTTCGTTGCAAATCGGGGTTTGTTTAGGTGGCTGGATACAGTGGACGCCGGAAGCTTAAGCTTACTGATGGACTGTCATGTTTTCGTTTTTGGGTTGGCTTACCAGACTCGAATGCTCTTTACTATTGTTGGTCATTGAATCACAACTGGCGGCAGGAATTTGAGCGGCGAGGTACAAAGTAGGTGAATACGGAGGCCGACTAAAGAGGTGAGTCGTTCTGCGTCCTTAGTAGGGGACGTTACGGATGGGCGGTAAAGTTCGATACTTGAAGCGACGTCCAGTCGGCACGGCAACATTCCCCGGAGATATCGGTCGTGAAATACCTTGGAATTCTCCGGGTTGGCAGAAGAGAGGGGAAGCCTTTTGCCGTTTTAAAATTAAATTGCCTTGACCTCAGAAACGCACTCCGACAACGGTGTAATGTGGTCGGGATGACCTTCACCGTCGTCTCTAGACTCTTATGGTCATGTGCAGTGTCGATTTTCTTCATCGTATTATTCAGCAACGGCATGCATAAAACTGCAGCATAAATTGCGACGGTTGCGACCGACGCCTGGCCTGGTAATTCTTCAGTAGTGCTTTAAGAGGGCCTCCCCTACCTGGGGACGCGCGAGTCAAATTACGATGGGCACACTCGCGAAGCACCAGCCTCATTTTCTGTTCGACCTTACAGTCGACAGTGGAAACGCAATTAAAGCCGGTGGCTAACCGACATCTCGTCCCTAGTGCTTGTTGCTTTTAACCGACCAGGCTTCCCATGCTCTGGGGCAGACACTCCAACAAAGCTGAACTAGTTGGCAAGTCATTCCCGAGGACGAGGGAAGAAGGGCTTTCAAGATCCGCTTTCTCCACGTTCTCAAACACTCACTCCAGGGCAGTGTTGAGACGAGGTGGGACCACGAACGATCTTGCCTTCAGGCCGGCGCAGCGTGAGGCCTAGCCGTCTGTATCTGTCAACAAAGAGGACGTTGTCGATCGTTGTTGTCCCTGTTGGATTCTAGACAAGAACAAAATCAGCACCTGGACCAGAGATGGGTCGCCACGCCCGGCCAGACATCTCAGCGCCTTAGGTGCGCTGGTTCGACCTCCGTAGTACAGATTACCTGCACAGCCAGCACGCCGTAGTGTGCCACACACCGTTTGTCACGCGAATTTCAATTTGAAATATGATTTCGAAAAGGTTTCCGGTGGAGGAAATGACAGGTAATGCTACTGGTAATATCCAGAAACCGTTTTTAACATCTTCAGAGGAAGTTATTTGCTCCGTGCACTCACGAGGCCGTGTCGTCAGTCGGGCCTCTTCACAATATCTCCCACCACCGGTTATAGTCGGGCAAACGACTTCCGGATTCTAATCTAGCTTTCGGACCTAGTGAATGCGAAACCCATGTCTAATTGGCAGCGGGAGTAGGCATTCGAC